CTGTGTTACTTTCCTGGGAAGAATTTGGGGTCGCTGATGAGTCCAGACTCTTAACTGTTTTCAGGGGACCTTTGGTGGACCACAGGATCCCTGGGCATTGGATTGTCTGTGTCAGGCGCCATCAGACCTCTGCCGCTCTGAATAAAGAAAGCAAAACTCTAGCTTCTGTTACCCAGGGTGCTTTCTGTCCACTCACCAGTTGGTGGTACACTGATGTGTCCTATTTCCTTTTAAAAGAAAACATAAAATTACAAGCGAGAAAAGTAGGAGTTAAAATGGTCAGCAGCTACGTGAGGTAAAATGTAGTAAAAATTGACCTGAATAAACTAGCAAGACGAATCCCAGTGCTCCAGGGATTAGTAAAGGCCGCACAGGGCCCTTCCTGGTAGCTGGGCTCTCTTCTTAGGGCAGATCTTTCTAAAATGACAGGTGCCGGGCTAGGGAGCTGATGGAGGGCTGGCTGTGCGAGGGGTGTCTTTGTGGCACCACACGCAACCCTCCATTCCCCTCTCACGGCACGAGCTCCCCCCTCGAGCTAGAGGTGTGCTGCTTCTGTGCCTGCGGGGGGCAGACCCAGGCTTTTAGGTTTGGCTGTCTGTGACGTGTAGATCGGAAACTTCTTGAAGGCAGACACCGTACTGGAAATGTCTTCTTCATCTTCAGGACTTACGACGATCAATAAACTGGCCTTCGATTACGCCAACACGTCGCAGACTCGGGTAACCAGATCCTGCTTTTCTCTTCCAGCCTCTAGTGTGGCTGTTCTTTGTACTGGGAGTTTCTTGAGAGCAGAGAAGTGCCTCTCCGTAGCGAGCTCTCCGCACGTGATTCTTACGCCGAAATGGCTTGCCCACCTTCGAGGGCAGCTCAGAGCACAAACCGTCCGCGCCCTGGCTTCCTGGCTCATTGGTGTCTCTCCTGTATTCAGGAGCATGTAGATGGGCTGCGTTGGTATGCACGGAATTTGAGTCTTACGACTGCTCCTGTCTCTGCTCCCAGGGTCTGTATTCCAGTGTGGTGTGCCCGGGTACCATGGTGACCAATATGACATGTGGAATTCTCCCTCCCTTTGTGTGGACACTGCTGATGCCAATCATATGGCTGGTGAGTGACAGACGCTTCTGCTCCTACTTTCTCTTCGACTTGGGACCCAAAAGGTGTGTTTAAGGGTTGGGAAATGATCTAAGCAGTTGAACCAGAAGGTGGCAGGGTTTCACTTCGTCGGAGGTTCCTTAGTAAGGAACCTCTACGTCTCCCGCAGCACCACCCATCTGAATGGCCCCTTCTCTTTAAGGGAATGAGCCCTTGATCATGCATCGTAGCTCCCAAGAGTTCTAGGATGGCATAATTTGGGGAAATCTGTGTTAGGTGACGTTAAAGTGGATTTCTCTGAGCCGTCAATGCATTGAAAGTTCCCACAAGAAGGGAATGGCTGTGCATTGTGTGACCACGGAACCACGTTTTTGCTCATTTGTTTTTGTTTTGTGCTTTGGGCATGTGGCAGGACCAGAGTTTTCACAGCACACGTTAGAAAATGCTTGCTTACGGGAAAGGTTTCTCTCTCGCAGAGCTCTGGCAGAAAACGTCCCTCTGTTGTGGCAGGCAAGGGGAAAAGAGGAGAAGGAAATACGCCTCCGTGTTAAAAGTGGCTGGCTCAGAGTGATGGCGATTATGTGATATTTCTCTTCTAGACTTGTGATACTTAAGTGTTCAGTGATACGAAATGCAAGTTAACCTTTTTCAGTATGTGAATGAATAATGCTTTGGTGACTCTTCTAAACCACCACAAAATGACTGTCGTTTTCTTTTCCTCAGCTTCGCTTTTTTGCCAATGCTTTCACTCTGACACCGTACAATGGAACAGAAGCCCTGGTAGGTCGCTAGAGTTGCAGTAGCTTGTACGGTCGCTAAGCAGATATAAATGTATTTACGTACGTGTTTTAAATGTTTACTTATTTTTAAGAGAGAAGGAGTGCGTGCGGGGGAGGAGCAGAGAGAGGAGGGACAGAGGATCCGAAGCAGGTTCCGTGCTGACAGCAGAGAGCCCGATGTGGGGCTCGAACTCACGCACCGTGAGATCTCGGCCTGAGCCAAAGTCGGATGTTCAACCGACTGAGCCACTCAGGTGCCCCAGAGCGGATATAAATTGCAGCTCACTGATAGTGGAAACAATCTCAACAGAAACGATAGGCTATGTAAATCATCAGCGTCCTGTTTTGGACTAAGGCCGAGTGCAGAGTATTAGGAGTGAAGTTTAAGTTTAGTATCCACCGTAGCCCTGGATACCATGGTTGTAGGGACAGCACGTCTGTGGAAGCAAAGTTCGCCAACAGCTAGAGAGCAGAGCAGCGGAATACTACAGGGGCAGGCAGAGCAGGATGGTCGCCGGGCCCTCGGTTCCATGGAGAAGGTCATCTTGCAGGCCAAGAGTACAGGCGACACAGTCCAACTCCCGTTTCCTTATACGAAGATTCTCTTTCCTCTGTTTAAATATTAGAGAATCGGTTTGTTGCTTTGTTAGAAAACCAGTGCATTTCCTTAAATCACACGTGACAAGTGGATCCCGTGTGGCAGACATGATTAACTACACAAGTGCTGTCTCTCGGGGTTTGTCAACCCAGGGCCCAAGGGTGCCCTCTGCTAACGGATCTGAATTGTCACACGAGATGAAGCTTATCTGTCCTCTGTCACTGTAGTGCTTGTACTTAGCAGCCTCTTAAATCTTGGCTGAGTTGAAATTAACCAAGGAAAACATGAAAGAAATTGGTTGCCACTCTTGTTTTGGTAAACGTTGCAGAAATGAATGCATTTATTATAGGGACACAAATTGATTGTAGAAGCAAGTGCTTTTAAGCCACTTCTAATGAGTCCTTAATATATTTGCCAAAGCATTAGAGACAATGTGATTACTCATTCACATCCCAGATACTGAAAATCAGGTGTGGCGGTCAAGTATATGCTGAGTGTCGGTGGTGCGAGGAACACTTAGAAGACAAAACCTCCAGGTACTAAGGCGCTTAGAGTCGTATTTGGAAAAAAAGAGAATGTCGAAAATAAAAATAGGCGAGAAAATAAGACATTCTGTCATCGGGTGGTAAGTCCTCAGACTAATCACCGGGGGATCAGTGGAGCCGGGCTGGTTGAAGCAGGCTTTGCTTCCTTGGTCTGGGCTCTGAGGGATAAGTTGGCTCTGGATAGGACAGCGTGACCCACGTCACAGTTTAAAGAAATCTGTTGTGACCCTGCTGTTTTTTCCTAAAATGTCGATGGATGAGTCACTATCCCCCTGACTGCCATTTAGTGATGGTTGTAGATGCTGGTGGATGTGGATGGATGGGGATTTGGGTACAGCGCATGTGCAGGAAGGATCTCAGGTGAGATTCACCTCCTTACGTGGGCTAAGCCGGAGTGGCCGAAAGCACAGTGGTTGAGGGTGTGGACTCTGGAATTCTACGGATTCTCTTCAGATCCCACGTCTCTGGTTTCTGGCTGCGAACGCCGGGGCACATGTTTTCATTTGCTTTTATCATTATCTGCAAAACAGGAATTCCAGGCACGGACGAGAGGAAGCTTTACTATAAAGGGTTTTGTGTGTTTCAGCGTTAACGATTTCAAAGAAAACTGTCCTAATGAAAACAGTATAGTTCTGGCAGGTGCATGGACAGGTCAGTGGAGTAGAATAGGAAATTCAGCACAGGCCCCCAGCACACAGGTATCTAGTATATGGTAACGATGGCCTTCCAAATTAGTGGGAGAGAGGGGTTATTCTGGAAATTGTGCCAAAAAATAGAATAGGATCTTCATACCTCACACCCAAATAAAACTCTAGATAAATTCAAAGATTTACACACGACGGAGTTAAAATATATAATGACTAGAAGGAAATATGGGGGACGTTTCTAAATCGTCTAAGAGTGTGGGGGCATCCTTACTCCCAGGAACAGACTGAACATTTTGATTAAATAAAAGTAATCAAATTTTGTGTGACCCAAATCCTCACTGTAAATCTACTCCAAAGACTAACCACGATGCCCAAGAAAAAGTACCTGGCACTCATATCACAGTAACAGGTTAAGTTTCTTCCTGGTTAAGGAGCTTCAACAGTCCAGAGAAACAACAACCTATTGGAACAGTGGGCAAAAGTTGTGAACAGAGAGTTCTTAAACTGTCTTAATCGCACGGAAAGGTGCTCGACCTTACTCATACTAGGAGGCAGCCCCCTTAAGGCTGTAATGAGATGGTTTCTCAACTCTGATCAGCAAAGATTAGAAAGTTTGGTACCGCACTGTCCTGTCAGGGGCGTAGAGAGAGAGCGTTCTCCCATCTAGCCAGGGGGAGGGTTGACTGACGTAGCCTGGATCAAGGACTGTTGGGCAAGATCATTCAAAATAACACACGCACGTCCCCTTGACCCAGAAATTCCATCATTGGTATTTATCTTACAGATGTTCTCAGACTTAGATCATTCGCTACAGCGTGGTTTGTACTAGCAGAGGCTGGAGACCGCGTGTATGTCCATCCTTTGGAAATTGATTGTGTACATTCCATCCTTGATTGATTGTGTCAATTTCCATCCATGAGATAGAACACTGTTTCTTTAAAAAAGAATGAAACAGCTCTCTATTTACCGAGTTGAAAATATCTCAAAGGGCCTATTGTTCAAATCAAAATGGCAAAGTATCGAATAGTATACATTTGGCTTCCATTTGAGTAAGAGAAAAGAATATACAAGCTTTTAAGCAAATACCTTTTCTTTGGAGGAATATGTAAGATACTAGCTTGCTTCCAGAGGGGAGAGCTAGGTGGCTGGAAAATTGTGAAGGTAGGGAGACTTACTTTTTACCAGTACATCTCCTGAATGGTGTTCACGTTCAGGCCTATGAAGAACGTGAAATAACGTAACAATATATCGTGTACTTACCGTAGCATGAGCCGAGTATCAACTCTGAAAAAGCCCTTCTCTATGCTGTGAACTTCAATTTGGGATTAAGGGGAGAGATGGCTAAAACACAAGGGGTTCTTTGCTTTAAATAAATTTTCAAAGAGGACCATTAAGCAGATTGCCCTACTTCCTTCAGGGTACAGTAGTGGTTCATGAAGACGTTACAGTTCGCTGATGATATTCAAGAGAAGGTTTAGAGTTTGTTTGGAGCTTGGTAAAGTGCTGATTATCAATCCCCACCAGCCTCACTCATGTCGGGCAGAAGAAGAAAAGAATCATGGACACCCTCTTCCTTCCTAGGTATGGCTTTTCCACCAAAAGCCCGAGTCTCTCAATCCCCTGACCAAATACCTGAGCGCCACCACTGGCTTTGGAAGCAATTACGTAATGACCCAGAAGGTAAATGTGTTTACACTGTGGCTCGGCTGCTGAACTGGCCCTCATGGCGTCCCGGCTTCCCTTCCCTTGTTTCCCGTTCTGGTCACTGGCATCTCACTGGCCTGTTTTCCTTTCCATCTGCTCCCTCCTGCCTCCTGCCTCCGGGCCTTTGCATGTCCTCTGCCTGAATGTCTACCTCTTCTTTCAACTGACGGACAATTTCTGCTTACGCTTGAGACCTCGGCTTGTCCCTCAGCCCTGTGTGACCCGGTAGACCAGGTCCAGTGCCTCCGTCGTAGGCTCTCTTGACATCTCATACCTCTTCTGTGTAGGATTCATTCAACGCCGGACTTCTCTGGCCAACTGTAAGCTCTGTGAGCAGGAGGATTATACCCCCTTTTCGAGCACGTTGCCTCGCATGTGATAGGTGCTCAATAGATGTGCTGCAACTTGGGTGAAACATGAAGCGTCTGAGTGAAGTTAACTTCCCTTTGGGTGTTCAGTTCTGCTCGCGACGGTTACTGGCTTCCGTGCATTGGTATTTTCAGGAGGCACGGGATGAACTGTGGGAAAAAAACCCAGAGTGCTGTTTTTTAGACTCCATATAGTCTTCCAGAAAGAAGTCACACATGGAGTGACATACAAGAAAATAGGGTAATTTCTTCTGAACTTACAGAACTATTTTTGTTGTATTTTTGTCCCTGTTAGCAAGGTTTATTTCAGCCTCCCATTTCCCACTGCCTCATTTACGTGGGAGGCATCGGCATAAAATAAAATGAGATGGAGGCAGACCAGTTACCCCAGCGACGTCGCATAATCGGCGGTGGTCTTGTCTGTGTGAGGAACGTGAGGCCTGAGGGGACTGTGCTCTCGCTTCCCATGGTGTCTGTTTACTAACAATGAACCTCTGAACCTCCAGCGTTTTCCAAAATATGCCCTGTGGGATTCTGGTTCCTTGAGAAGATTTGCAAAGAGCAGTTTGTCAGCCAAGTTTGAGAAATGCCTCGTATTTTATTCCCCCTTTTCCGAGGCCTCCACGATGCACACTGGCCCAGGACAGGCTCTGAGAAGTTGCTGCAGTTCGCGCGCGCGTGCGTGCGTGCGTGCGTGCGTGTGTGTGTGATGTCTCATCCTGCTGTTTCTGTTTCCTGACTCTATGACTTGTTTTCCCTTCAAATTTTATGTAACACTTCATAGTATCCTGAAGAAGAAATCCTTGGGAATTCTGTTGTAAGTTAGTAAGCTTCCTTGTTTACAAATTTTTGTTTTCTTTAACATTTGTTCAGTTTTGAGAGGCAGAACGTGAGCAGGGGAGGAGCAGAGAGAGAGAGGGAGACACAGAGTCCAAAGCAGGCTCCAGGCTCCGAGTTGTCAGCTTCAGTGCCCCACACGGGGCTCGAACCCACGAGCCACGAGATCATGACCTGAGCCGAAGTTGGATGCTTAACCGACTGAGCCACCCAGGCGCTCCAATAAGCTTCCTTTTAAAAAGGCCCTTAGAGGGAATGCCTTGTTTATGAACGGGGAGAAAATGTTTAATTCCATACACCAAAATATTTTACTGGCATTTCATTGAAATGCATTGAAGAAAGTGTTTTAAATGTTGATTAATTCAGAGAAGTCAGCTTTCTCCTCTGTTCAGAGGTGGGGTTGAAGGAGATCTCGAACACCTCTAACAGTTCCAATATGGAAAAATGCTTGACAGGGTTTAAAATGAATGTAAATGTTATTTCCAGAATGTTAGGTTTTCTTTGATTTTCAGCCTCTCAGCTCTGGGAAGAAAGAGACTGTTTTTTTTTCCGAAGTTTAGGCTCGGTGTTGACCTGAAAAGAGACACCACTTTATTTTATAGGCGGTGAAAGCTTGCTTTTACATACAGTGTATCACTTAAAACAGAAGAGTGTGAAATAACAGCAGGTTAAACAAGATGAAAGCTTAGATTTCTTGCGCGTAAAAGCAGTTTTGGAGAGAGGTAGTGTTGGGCCGGTATGGCACCCCCCAGACTGTCAGGTCCCCAGGGTCCTTCCGTCACCCCTCTACCGTCCATAAGGTGTGACGCTCATTCTTATGGCTCAAGAGAGCAGTACAGAAGCAGGGAGAAAGGAAGGGATGCCCATGCCTGTAAAGGAGACTCCTGGGCAGTACGACATGCTTCCACTCAGACCTCGCTGGCCAAAGCGTGAATGCATGGCACCCAGCGTCTTCAATGGAGCCTGGACATGTGGGCTTTTATCTGGAGGGCAGTGCACGCAGCTGAAACTCGGGCTCCATATGAAAGAAGGTGGACATTGGGTAGATGGCGGTTTGAGTTCAAAAAAAATCTTTTGATCTTTCTGTTTTGTCCTTATATGACAGTCGGTTGATGTCTTCTGTTACTGGATGCACAGGGGTTAGCGGGGAGAGAAAAACCAGACCTTTCAGTCTTGCTGGGCAAGGGCAGCGTCGGTAGGTTTGGTGAGTGTTGGAGTTTGGTCTTAACATGTCCTCAGGATCTCAGAGTCGGAAACCCCAGCCCTGTCCTCCCGGCCCTGTTCTCTTGTTTCCGGTTCTCTAATGCATGTTGAAGGCCTTCCTTTTACACAGAGCCCATTTGTTTCATTTTTCCTCTCTGGTCATCGCTGTCTTCGCTTCTTTTCTAGATGGACCTAGATGAAGACACCGCTGAAAAATTTTACCAAAACTTACTGGAACTGGAAAAGCACGTTAGGGCCACCATTCAAAAAAGAAATCATCAGAGCTGACCGTTATCCCCTCAGAAACACTGCGTGCCTTCTGTGCATTCTGGACTTCCGTTGAGTTGGATGAGGTGCACTTTTGGGAGACCGTGAACTAGAAGGGTCTCTTTTCCTTCCTTTCAGGATTCTAAGACTGTGTGTGTGTGTGTATGTGTGTGTGTGTGCGTGCGCGTGTGTGTGTGTACCCATGAGAAAAAGATGGGTAAGTAAAATATCAGTTAAATAGTCTCCAGGATGGTGTCACAGCAAAATTGTGCGAGGGTCACCCAACCAAGTATGTGCTCATTGGTTCTGCCAACTGGAGCCCAAGGCCCACGGCGTGGGATGAGGTGTGGACCCGAGTAGCCGTGACACAGGCACTCGCTGGTCTTCCACTTGGCCTGCTTGAGCAGGAGAAAGTACTGGTCGCCCTCTGAGCGGTAATCTGAGCTCTGTCCCTTTTCTTGTGAATAGTTTTCTTGGGTCTTGTACCCGATTTCTTCCTCCACATGCTGCTTCTAAAAATCCTGACGTCGTTAGAATCCTAACAGTCCTAATACAGATACCCATGTAGTTCATCGCAGGAACAGAAGTGTCTTTGTGTTTGCACCACTTGAATCCTGTCTTCTTTTGAAAGTGTCTTTTACTGATGTTGAGGTGGCCTGTGTTAATACTGTGCCCGACCCTTAGCACCATTTGCAAATTGGTTCATTACTGACCAACCTGTGTTCGTGCTTATATTTTAGCGTAGGCACACTTGCAGCAAAACGTGATTTACTCACGTTGTTTCAAATTTTCCAATTGAATAATTGCCGGTGAGCTATCTGCTGGTGTCAGCAGCAGCTGGAAGTGGTTAGGACTCAAGTTTGCGTGATGTGAAGACAAAATGCTATGAGACGCCTAGGTGTTTTTGCCCCGAATACAACCAGCACCCTACCTGGATTGTAATAAAGCGAGCAAAAGTTTGAATGACTTAATAAAAGCAAAACAGGTTCTAGAAATGTCATTTCTATACATTCTCAGTACGGATTTTGGTTATGGTTTCTCTAATTTTGTTGCTAGAGATGCCGTTGATGCCGTTAAACATTCTGTGCGTGAAGAGAAGGACCGAATGGTTCTGCCCGCCCCCCAGTGTCTTTGGGGTTGGAGAGTGGAGGGCAGGCTGGGTTGAACTCTCGCAGCCACTCACACTGCAAGTTTGCAGGAAGCACTTTATTGTGGATCTCGGGCTCCACATCAGGGAAGTGGAGTAGTTAGCGTCCTGCTTCCTGTGGTCACGGGTGTGGAGGGACATTAAATGCAATAACACATGGGAATGAATAAAGAGCATTTTTTGAGAATGGTGACAGTGTGTTTTTTTTTAATGTTTATTTTGAGAGAGAGAGAGAGACGGAGAAAGAATGTGAGCGGTGGAGAAGGGGAGAGGGGAGGGAGAATCCCAGGCAGCCTCCACGTGGGGCTCGAACTCAAACTGTGAGGTCATGACCTGAGCCAGAATCAAGAGTCGGATGCTCAACCGACCGAGCCACCCGGGCGCCCCAACCATACAGTTTTTATCAGAGATGAACAGGCCGGAACATCCTGGTTCAAATGGTGCCGCGTACCGTGATGACTGTCCGTGTCCCATCTGACTGAGAATTGGTTGGCAGCATCCAGACCAGCAGGATGGTACCAGGGGAAGAGTGTGGATTCTGGGGCTGGGCGGACACTGGATCAAATTTGGGTTCAGTCATTAGCTAACTTAACGACTTAGGGCAAATCTCTTCCATTTATACCTGGATTTAACTACAAAATATTTAATATTGCTACCAGTGTGACCTCGAAGGATTGTGAGGCTATATCCTAGTAGATGCACAGTCAGCACAAACTATTATTTATTTCTGTTCTACAGGAAGTGCCCCAGAGGAGACTTGAAATATGAACTAAATCCCGGTATCCTGCCATTTATGATGCGTCAGTGGGTTGGGGCTCTGCATATTTTCTGAGCCATTTTATCAGGTTTCTTTGAAACAGAGAACAAATCACGGCTCCCCTGGCCCCCACCAAGTACATACCCCAAGTGGCATACCTCAACAATTGGTTCTTGTCATTAAATCGTCTCAGATTTCACTGTCTCTGTATCTGAACGTGGCTACTAGATTGAAGAAGATTCAACTATTGGGAAGTTGGGCTCCAGGAGATGCCTGAGCTTCCTCTTCTAAATGGCTGATCAGATTTCTGTGGACTGGTGCATTTATTCCGATTTCCACGACGGGTTCAACATGAGTAGTTCATTCATGGTGCAGGTATGTTTGGGGCGCTGGCTCTGCCCCAGGCCCTGTTGGGTTTTGAGGATGTAAAGTGAGCATGTGGGTGATAGACTGGGGATTCCCAAATGCACTTAATAGGTGTTCCCAACAGAAGGAATTGAGAAATGGGAAAAAGGCAATATTTGAAGAGAGAAGAGCTGAGCATTCGTCAGAATTGATGGCAGCCGTGATCACAGGAGACTGGGGGGAAATGACAAGTCTCAAACCCAAACAAACTTAGACACAGTAAACCGGAGAGACCCCGAGAAGCTGGCTTGCCAATCAGAGAAAAGAGATTACCAATGAGAGTTCACGAGACTGACAGCAGATTTCTTCCAGGGTTATGTTCGAGAAGACAGGAAAATAGTAAGCACTGAGTGACATTAGACCCATCTGAACTGTAACTCAGGAGTGAGGCTGAAATAAAATTTGAAGACAAAAGTTGCAAGTTGATCTCTAACCCTTCACGAAAGCCTTTACCTCTAACATCCCGTTTTTGGAAAAGATTCCTAAAAGGTGTATTTGAGGCAGAAAATTGAATCCCACAAGGCAAAAGTGAGATGCGCCAAGGAATAATGAGTGAAGATATTTGCAAGCATGTAGATAAAGCCTTAAACACCGACTTTATCAAACAATAATAAAACTGGCTAGTTTCAGGAGGAAAGAATTCTAGGTAGAAATTGGCGAGCTGCAAGAGTCAATTACAGATATTCAAGATACCGTTCAGAAGAAGAGATTGTGGTTCACTTTAACTCTTGTTTCCAAGACCATTTTATGAAGCCAGCAGAACACCTTTACTAAACCCAGACAAGTGCAATACTTTGAAGGAAAATCGTAGGCTGAATTCATTTAACATGGTTACAAAGATGTTGTAACTGAATACAGCAATATATTAATAAACAAAACTAAATGTGACCAAGTTGTCTTTACACGAAAATACAGGATAGCTGAGCACCAGAAGAGTTAATAATTTATGATGTTAAAAGAATAAGGAGGAAAAGTAATATGCTCCTCTTGGTAGATGCAGAAATAGATTTAATATGTCAACACTCATGCATAATAAAAACATCTGAAGAGATCAGTAATAAGAAAGGAACTTTCATATCCGGACATGGCAAGTACCCATAATGCCACATTCAATGAAATAATGGAGAGCATTTTTTTAAAAGACAGGCACAAAGTACACATGTCTACTCTGCCCATTTCTTTTCAACGCGGTACTGGAAGTTTGAGCCAGACTATAAAATAAGACAAAGAAATAATGTGTAAGGATCAGAAAGCAAGAAGCAAAGTAGCCACATCTTTGCAGACGACGTAGAAATCAAAAGGATCAACAAAAGAGGGGTACAAATTTTTTTAAAAAGCCACTTGCATTCCTGCTCGTCAGAAAGTTACATGACTATTAGCAAGAGAGTAGTTAGACGATAAAATTCTGCAGAGCACTTTAAAGCTAATGACCTGCAGATATTTGTGTCAATAGGGATACATCTACAAATATGTAATATTGAATAAAGACAAACTTCGGAAGGATGTATACAGTTTGGTTCCACTCATAGTTTAAGAACACGTTCATATGTAGAAAGCGAACGTTACATCAAGTTAAGGATACTGGTTACTTTTGAAAGTGAGCACAGCATGGGTTTTGCATCGGTGTCTATGTATTTCCTAAACTAGATTGTGTGCACATGTACACAGTTCAAGGTTGTGTATTGTGTGTGCTCCTCTCCTGCAGTTGTTTCCTTGGGGTTGTGCGGGGGAGGGAGGTAATTAGGGTGCTTCGTTCATGGGGTTTGCTTTTCATTTTGTTTTCTGCCCTGATTCTCAGTGGGCTCCTTTCTGATTTCGTCTGAAATCTCATCATGCCTGACAAGTTTTCTCACCTTCCCCGTTTTGCTTCTTTACCATTCATTACTACCTATCATATGTATTTTACTTATTTGTCTTGTTTGTTGCCTTTTAACCCTATCAAAGTATAAGCTCCAGGAGGGTTGGGGGACTTTTTGTTCTTGTTCCTTGTTGTATGCCCAACACTAAATCAGTGCCTGGCACATAGTGGGCTCTTGATAAGTACTTGTCACATAAGTAAATATATAAACAATTGATTAAACAAACATTTATTTGGATAAAAATATCCTGCTTCTTGCTATTTCTGTGTTACAGCCTTAATCAACTGTTTTATTGTAGCCATATTAAAAAAGAAACGAACTATATGACAATTTCACACTCTTTTTTTCTTTAAAGATTTTTTAAATGTTTTTTATTTATTTTGAGAGAGTGAAAGAGCGTGAGTGGGGGAGTGGCAGAGAGAGGGAGAGAGAATCCCAAGCGGGCTTCATGCTGTCAGCAAGGAGCCTGACACGGGGTGATCCCACCAGGCGCGAGATCATGACCTGAGCCGAAATCAAGAATCGGACGTTTAACTGCCTGAGCCACCCAGGCGCTCCTTGGTTTCACTCTCTTACTGTGGAATGGTGTTGGGAGTACCAAGCCAGAATTTACGGAGGTTCTCTCTGCTGTTACTGCCACCTTCAAAATCACTTTGTGCGATATGATTCCTTCTTGTGGAAAAGAATTAAAAAGTAGTAAGAACAACTTGAGTGCAGAGTGAGCTCTATTCCTAGTAATGAAACCCCACCCCACCTCCCCTACCCCCCAAAATGCATGTTTCTTATCTGGCACCTGAAAATCTGAGTTATTTCCATTGTCTGATAAATCATGTTTTTTATCGCTATGAAATAC